TTTTTGTTACCACGATATGCAGGTTCTTATAATTTGTCAGTTTTTGAATGTCTTTTTTTAGAAACATTAGAATCTTATGTGCAAGTCATATTAATTAGTTGGCATGCTCCCTTTTTAAAATATTTTATGACTATGTCTGGTCTATTTGCATCAATTTTCCTGTCTGAGAATTGGGATAATCCACATTATAATCACACTATCACCACTTGTGACATCATTCGGGTGGAGTTTTTAGCATGTATACGATATTTCAATATTACAGTTCGTACAGACATGCCAATAAATATATTGTCCTAGCCTCTCATGTCTAATAATGTAATTTTTTCATCAAGGACTGAGAACACTGGTACTGTATAGTCAAGAGTTTCAATAAATTTATTTGCATAAGTGACAGGCGAGATTTCAACCATCTTTGTTTTTAGCCTTCTAGGCTCCGAATTCCTACCAAGTCCATTACATTCACTTACGTGTTAATACCATTGGGAAAGGTATGAATCCTCTTCTTCTCCTCCCAGTTATGGGTAAATAGCAAGACAGTTCAGGTTCTATAGCCTTTGAAAGCAACTGGCCTACCGCAGAAAGAAATGGCAACCTACTGCTGGAAAAAATGTCTCATCAGTCATGTATCGAAAGATACATGATCGCTTAAGCGTGTATCACGCAGGGCATATAACTGACTGACATCAGTCAAGGGAGGTATGCAATGTTGTCATTTTCTGTTATCTTTTATTTATAAATAATATTCTTAAATAGCGACTTGGATTGAGGAATCGGAGAGCCGAGTTCGAATTCCAGTCGAATCCATTACATTCACTTACGTGCGAATACCCTTGGGAAAGGTATGAATCCTCTCCTTCCCTCCATAGCTATGGGTAAATTGCAGGACAGGCCGGGTTCTATAGCCCTGGATGGCAACTGATCTACCACAGAAAGAAATGGCAACCAACTGCGGAAAAAATCTGCCTTGTCAGTCATATATCGAAAGATACATGATCGCCTAAGCGTGTATCACGCATGACACATAACTGACTGACTGACTGAGGCATTAATAATAATAATATGATTATTATAATTATTTCATGTATTTGTATTTTCCTAAAAGATACTTGGTTGCTATCACTCGACATGGAGCAATATTTTCAGTATCCTCGTAGACCGCTGTAAGACCAGTGTTTGGAAAAGTACACATTTTCTCATAATTTTAAAGCCATCCACCTTTGATGAAATGTATTAAGTTCCTGCGTAAGATCCTAAAATTATACCTCAATTCTACTAAATTTTGTTTAGTCCAACAGCCCAGTGACATTTTTGTTTATTTTTACTCTCTCAGATGAATTCTTCCCTTTTGGGTGATTACTCCTGCTTGGATGCTAACATTTCAGAATATGTTGGCTTTGTCTCCTACTATGGTGTCTAGAGATGTGCGTGTGGTGTAATGGATATCGGATCCAAATGAGTAATCAGAGAGCCGAGTTCGTTACAGTCACTTACACGCAAATACCCATGGGAAAGTTATAAATCCATCTCTTCTTCTCCCCAGATATGTGTTGAATAGTAGGGCAGACTGGACCCTATAGCCTTGATTGGCAACCAATCTACCACAGAAAGAAATAGCAGAATGCTGCAGGAGACTTTTCTGCCTAGTCAAACATGAATCAAAAAAGTCATGATCACCCAAGCGTATATCACGTATGGCACTTAACTGAATGACTGACTACGGCTTCTGGTTAGTCGATATAATTTTTAGACAACTTCTTTTCATAATTTCCAATTTATAACTCTTCATATTGTTATTATTATTATTATTATGATTATGATTATTATTTTATTTACTTTGATTTCTGGTGTATACTCATTTCTTTCTTGGTCCCGACCAGAGACCTAAGGTCAGAAATGACATCATGAGATTTTGCATTGAGTAATTTTGAAAAGAATCTTACATATTTTATATAGATAAAGCCCTTCGTATGCTGTGGGCTGTACATGTGAGTACAATTTTTTGTATTTCTTTAAGGCGTGGGCTAACAGGGATTCCTTCAATGAGGCTATTAGAATCTTTTCCAATCAATCCGAGTGCTCCAACTACAACGGGAATTGATAATGTCCTCATGCGCCACATTTTTGAGATTTCTATTTCAAGGTCCATATATTTTGATAGATTTTGAAGATCTTCAAACATACATTGCATTCTGCAGGGACTGTCATGTCAATAAGAAGGCATATTCTTTTTTTGTGGACTTTGATCATGATATCAGGGTGATTAGCTTTGATGGTTCTGTCTGTGTGTATTGTAAAGTCCCATAAAATTGTTATAGGTCCTATCTCCGTTATCGGGCCTGGGTGGTGTTCATATCAATTTCTTGTAGTTTCCTTTCCGTAAGTGTTGCAGATTTTCCAGTGCAGATTCTAATCACAATGGCAGGGTGATTAGCTTTGATGGTTCCTTAAGTGTGTATTGTAAAGTCCCATAAAATTGTTATAGGTCCTATCTCCGTTATCGGGCCTGGGTGGTGTTCATATCAATTTCTTTTTGTTTCCTTTTCGTAAGTGTTGCAGATTTTCCAGTGCAGATATCGGCCCATTCTGTCGTATTTTTATTATTGTCATTATTAAAATATTATATATTATACCAATGATTTTATTGGTCTTATTCATCTTGTTGACGATGATGTTGTTGATGATGGTGGTGATGTGATGACGGTAGCGTAATAATTATTGCAGTTGTAAGAGGAGTACTAATGAAGCGACAAATGAGACTGATTTTTGAAATAACTTATGTACGCGTTTATAGTGCGAGGTTCTTGATTATATTATTAAGCAAAAATAGTGGTTGCATTATACACAGGTAAAGGGTTTAAAAAATTCCGATGAGCGCTTGCACTTTACAGAAGTAAACGTTTTTTCTAGAGGGGTTAAAATTTTTTGCAAAAATTGTTGCCTTTACATGAAACCGTCTGAAACACAAGTATATTCATCATTGAGTTTTCTTTGGATCACACTAATTCAAAGTTTAGCATATATATATATATATATATATATATATATATATATATATATATATTAAATAATTCATCAAGTCTAGAAGAAACCTTAACAGAATGCAGAAAGCACTGGACGGCCGTTTCTTTTCTATATTTGGGACTTATTAGCAATGCATCCACTAACTAGAATTGAAACCTGGACAATTTTCAGGCATATATATATATATATATATATATATATATATATATATATATGTATATATATATATATATATATATATATATGTGTGTGTGTGTGTGTATATATATATATATATATATATATATATATATATATTAAAATATACATACATATGCAAAATATATATATACCCATATATGTATATTTTCAGAAAAAATTTTTCCAAGAGGAAGAATCCAGGTAGAACTCAATGTCTAGGACAGAGTAAGAATATAATAAAAAGGCTTAAACACTAATACTCCATGGTCATAATTTATTCCATTGGAATCGTAAATACGATCCAATTCATCAGACCTACAAATTCAAAATGAAAACAGAAAAACCACTCCGGAAATGAAAACAGAATTTAGAGAAAGTGTAAATAAGAGAGGAGGAGGGAGATTGAACCTTAACAGAGAGAATTTTAGGAGATGTGGGGGAAAGGGTTTTAAATAAGAGAAGAGAAAGAATGTCGACGGATGTCTAATGCATAAAGATACATTTCGTGGTGACATACACACACCATAGACAATTTGATGCTAGAATAAGAGGGACGGGAAAAAAAGAGAAGAGGTTGGGGGAGAGATGGGACGAAGGAAAAAAAAATTGTGTTTACTTAAAGGGCCGCTTTGTAATTGAGAAAATTTGACAAAATTAATATCGACTACAGGTTACAAATCAAATATAAATATATGAAGATAAATATAACGATTGTCTAATCCAGCAAGGACCTATATTTCTATGTTCAAAAACACATGCGAATACACACAATAACATATACATGTATATATATACACATAGGCGTGTACCCATACACACACATACATACATGTACACACATATATAAAAAATATAAAAATATATTCACATATCCACATATACACATATTCATCTATATCCATATACACACTTTTTATATATATATATATATACACATGCATATATGTTTTTTATATATATATATATACATATATATATATATATATATATATATATATATATATACATATATATATACAAATACACATTTTTTGTACACACACACACACACACATATATATATATATATGTATGCATGTATTTATATATATATATATGTATATATATATATATATATATATGTATATATATATATATATATATATATATATATATATATATATATATATATATACATATATAAAATACATATATATATATATATATATATATATATATATATATATATATATATATATATATACATATATATATATATATATATATAAATAGAGAGAGATATAAAAAATGATAGAAAGGTAGAAAGAGTAAGAAAGTAAACCTAGATAGAATTTGTGAAAACGAAAGCAAGAAAAAAAGTATAAATGAAAAGGTCTATTACATGAATATATTTTTGAAAGATTAAACAAAAGCGAAACGAGAAAAGTATTTAAGCAAAAAACAGATAAAATAAATAGTAAATTGAAGGCGAAGCAGCGCAAATGGACATTGTATCACGCACATGACACTGTTACCTGCAACTTTAAGATTATTTCCAGAAATGCAGCAGAACATCTAGACATGAAAACAGAAAGAATCTAAATAAATTATGAAGAAACAGTTTTAAAAAAGTATCCGCATGATTGCATGTGTGCATACTCATGTACACACGCATACACATGCACGAAAGTACGTACGCACCACACATACGCACACGTACACACACACACTCACAGACACATATATATTTATGAATATAAGGAGATGTAAATAACGAAAAAAACTGTTTTCAACTGTGTACAGTGTAGCAAATTTCCGAAATGAGAGCGAGAGATTTTTTCATGGTCCTATCTATCTATCTATCTATCTATCTATCTATCTATTCAAATTTGTCTATCTACCTCAGCTTGTTCATATCTCTCTGTCTATCTGTCTATAATTGTCTATATCTATTTCAGCTTTTTCTTATCTATCTATCTATCTATCTATCTATCTATCTATCTATCTATCTATCTATCTATCTATCTATCTATCTTGATCTATATCTAACTATTTCAGCTTGTTTTTGTTCTATCTCAATTTGTTCATATTTATTCTATCTATCTATCTATCTATCTATCTATCTATCTATCTATCTATCTATCTATCTATCTTGATCTATATCTAACTATTTCACAACAAAATTTCATATCTATCTCAATTTTTTTCATATCTATCTATCTATCTATCTATCTATCTATCTATCTATCTATCTATCTTGATCTATATCTAACTATTTCAGCTTGTTCATATCTATCTCAATTTGTTCATATCTATCTATCTATCTATCTATCTATCTATCTATCTATCTATCTTGATCTATATCTAACTATTTCAGCTTGTTCATATCTATCTCAATTTGTTCATATCTATCTATCTATCTATCTATCTATCTATCTATCTATCTATCTATCTATCTATCTATCTATCTATCTTAACTTGTTCATATCAATGGATTGAATAAAGGTTTCCTAAGATTTTGATAAGTTTACCAAATGAGACTATGAACACTTGAAGAACGCTGGAATGTAAAACTGTCGAAACTTTATACTTTTAAAATCAATATAACAATCAATCTGCTCGTCTGGACAGAAAGATATATAATGAATATTTACTTTTCATCATTATCTTTTTGTATGTAAATGTACTTTTTAATGAAGAGTACAATTTGATATAAAATATAAGCTCATAGATATGTATTAAGTTTCAGGATTATAGATACACTCTCATATGGTTATCCGATGTATGTTAGTGTTTCTTTAGCTTTTTATACAAAGTATACTAATGGTAATATCAGCCATTTTCTTACAATGAAGCAGTTGGCATTCATTGACCGGACAGCCAGTGCTACTGTTCGTTGAAATTTATAAAATCATACTCGTAAAATGTTTTTCAGGAAAATCGGTTTCTCAAGTCCAGTAGCAGTTATCATTCTTGATGGGGTTACCTTCCTAACCTTTTTTTTGAAGTAGTGTGGAATGTCAACATTGTTATTTTTTCTCTGAAATATATGTGATATCCATTTTAGTTGTTGCTGTTCAAGTGATATTGTTTCTGTTATTTGGTACAGTTTTTTTGCTTGTGATTTTGTGGCGCCATATCACAAAGTTTGAAGAAGTGTGGTCTTTGCCAAAATCGATAAGCTTCACTCAATCAAAGCCATTGATCTTAGAAAGCCGTTGTATAGAGCTAACATTTTAGATATTTTAGTTTTAATGTTACTGTTTTCGTTTTTTAGCAGCTTGCCGTGTTGAGTGAAACTACCTCTAGCGCAGCTTATTCTAAGTTAATTTTCCTTGTCTCTTATACTAAATTTGTCATAACTGATCTATACATGGAGGTATTTGAAGTTTTTGGCATTTATTAAGTTCACGTCAGGAGCGTAAAATATATAAAAGGTGAAAGAAGATGACCATGACTTGACATGACTCCAAATTGAACCTACATAACATGAACCTTCTCATTGAACATTACTTTGTAACTGTTAGTAGAATTTATCTTTTTACTAAAATTTGCTAAGAGCTACAAAGTAATCATATTCATTTAACATTATAATATGAAAGATTCACATACAAATGCAGGTTTTTTGTTTGTTTAACGACATATCAACTCCTTAAGGGTGATTTAATGCCAAAATTAAATTTTCTTGGGAGCTTTGAAGTAATAAAAATACGATATATGTTATTCTGTTTTCACACTTGAATACATGGTAGATGATACACACATGTTTTTGTGGACATAATTACTAGAGTTATATGTGTGTGTTTATTTTGTAATTTTGTTCCAGTTACTTTTGGAATACAGTTTGATTTCTTTAAGAAATTGTAGGATATTAGATGGATTAATGTCATGAAAGAGTTCTTTCATGTTGGTTGTTTGGTTGATTTTATTTAGCGGGATATCAACACATTTATAGGTTATTTAATGCCGAACTATATATTTTGAACGGAATTGCATGCCTTTAACTACAGACAAAATGTATTGTTGTTCATTTTGTTAAAAAAAAAACATTTTTTAAAATTGTGTTTTGTTTTTTTTTTTTAAGAATCACTCAAATATTACCCCACCCTTGATCAGGGTGAACATGGAAACAGCAGCTCCTCAAAACCTTAAATCTTCCGATCAGAGGCATTGCTGCTGGATGAAGTTTATCATCATACTCAGGACTAACAAATTCAGGTAGTAACTATATGAAGCTATCAATTAATTGAGTTACCTTAATATATTAATAAGTTCGTAGCTTAATGGGGTATTTATTTTACACAACATATATTTATTTTGTAAGATTTCATTATTTGTCAGTGAATTTAATTCAGGTGTGAATATTAATAATATAGACTGAACATTACGGGATAGGAAATTGTGGAAAGCCATAATCGCCCACGCTATTAAATGATACGGTAAGAAGAAGAAGAAAAAGAAGATCTGATTGCTATAGAACTGTTAGAGTAGTCCATTGATGAGAAAATTGATTTTTTAATCGAATTCACCCCATACAAGCCAGTAAAGCTACGAGGGGTTACGGAATGTAAAAGAATTAGAAAACAGAAGCATTATTAAGGAATGCAAACAATAAAAGAAGAGTAATCAAGAAGAAAGGAGACAACGATTGACATTGCATTTAAATTTTAGAAGATCAAAATTAGAAAATCAAAAAAAATATTATATCTTGAATTATCGAAGACGCATATTTTTTTAATCGGTATCATTCCATGCAAGGCAGTAAAGCCACTAAGACACAAGGAGCTACAAGATATAGAAGAATTAGGAACAAAAATATTAATAATGAGCGGAAAGAGGAAAGAGTAATCAGGAGGACAGTAGATAGTGATTGATATTGCACTTAAATTTTTGTAGATTAAAGTTGGCTGGAAAGTATAGAACCGGAGGGGAGTTCCACAAGAAAGGCAGTAAAGCCACTAAGACGCAAGGTGTTACAGAGTGTAAAAGCATAATAAACATTAATAATGAGCAGGAAGAGGAAAGAGTAATCAGGAAGACAGTAGATAGCGATTGACATTGCATTTAAATTTTTGCAGATTAAAGTTGGTTGGAAAGCATGGAACCGGAAGGCAGTAAAGCCACTAAGACACAAGGGGTTACAACGTGTGGAAGAATTAGGAATAGAAACATTAATAATGAGCAGGAAGAGGAAAGAGTAATCAGAAGAGTAGATAGTGGTTGATATTGCATTTAAATTATTGCAGATTAAAGTTGGCTGGAAAGCATGGAATTGGAAGGGAGTTCCACAAGAAAGGCAGTAAAGCCACTAAGACACAAGGGGGTTACAGGGTGTGGAAGAATTAGGAACAGAAACATTAATAATGAGCAGGAAGAGGAAAGAGTAATCAGAACAGTAGATAGTGGTTGATATTGCATTTAAATTATTGTAGATTAAAGTTGGTTGGAAAGCATGGAACGGGAAGGGAGTTCCACAAGAAAGGCAGTAAAGCCACTAAGACACAATAGGTTACAGGATGTGGAAGAATTAGGAAGAGAAACATTAATAATGAGTGGGAAGAGGAATGAGCAATCAGAACAGTAGATAGCGATTAACATTTAAATTTTTGAAGATGAAAATTAAATGGGAAGCATGGAGCCGTTCCACAAGTGAGAAATGCGAGAAAATAACTTATTAGCATACGCTGCAGAAATAAAATAAATGCTTTTTCGTCTTTACGCTAAAGACTTATTGATTAAATTATATGTCTATGTATGCATGTATGTGGGTGGATAGGTAAATGGAATAAGTAGGTGATGGGATAGCATACAGATCTAGAAAAGGGAAACGAGAGTAAATTGAATTTGAGTTCGAATCACGCTACAAGCTTCATATATTCACTTCGCTTACCGGGCTTCTTGGGAAAGTCATCAAACTCCTTCTCCCTGTACTCTGTTCCAACGACAGGTATATTAAAATGACTTAGCTGTAGCATGCCAAACAACCGACAGAGAAAGGAATGGTTGAACGAATATTTTAACAGATCAGGCTTCCATAACAGGTCATATACCAGCAGCAAAATGGTAGCTATCCCTCTCGTCAATCGTGATAAGATTCAATAAAATAAAACAATAATATATATTTATATATGTATATACACTCCATACGTTTATGTGTACATATATATGCATGGGTTCATTAACATAGACGCTCGCAGGCGCGCCAAGTTCGTTAATATTTTGTTGTGAATTTCTTTTCTTTTCTAATTAATGCATATTATCTAGACTTTCCCGAAATCATTTTCATCATGTTAGTGGCAAACAGAATCTTTAGGTTTGCTTTCATTTACTCGTTGTTGGTATATTGCATTAACAACGCAATTCCTTATTTTTTTATACGTATTATTGCTATTTTTCTCTTTTCAACCCTCTACAGGATATTTGTATAATTTATACCACACACAGAGACACACACACTGGCACATACACACCAACTTGCCATTATCAGAAGTGAAAAGAAATTTATCTATCGGCACTTATGGCCTATCAAATTTAATTAAGAGTTGTACATCAAACATCACTAATACACGATTTCGAGTTATATGTACAAATATTTATACTAGTATGTACTAATATTTACTATTAATGCTATTGTGAATATTATTAAATAATAAGAGACATGTTTTATTTTTGATTTGCTTTTATTACGAACACGATAAAAAATATACTGTGTTTTCAGAATTTATAAATGTCTACATTCCAACGGTTTAAACGCTATTTACGATAGCGTAACAAAAATTCTAGAAAATGACTAAAGATTAGGCGAAGGGCTCGGAATGCACAATTATTTTTAAATTTCTAAACACTAAATCAAAAAAAGAGAAATAAACCGAAAAAATAAACCCCAAAACAGAACAGAACAGAAGTACATTGTCAGTCATCTTTTAATGAAATAGTCATGGCAGAGGGACTGATGCCCAAATGCACATATCTATCTATCTATCTATCTATCTATCTATCTATCTATCTATCTATCTATCTATCTATGAAACTACCTACGTTATTAATCTATCAGTTTATCTATCTATATACTTATATTCTGTTCATGTCTATCTATCTATCTATCTATCTATCTATCTATCTATCTATCTATCTATCTATCTATCTATGAAACTACCTACGTTATTAATCTATCAGTTTATCTATCTATATACTTATATTCTGTTCATGTTTGTCTATCTATCTATCTATCTATCTATCTATCTATCTATCTATCTATCTATCTATCTATCTATCTATCTATCTAAAAAATCTTTTTTTTTCCCCCATATATATATATATATATATATATATATATATATATATATATATATATATATATATATATATATATATAACTGGTCCACTCATCTATCTTTACTAGAGCAAACGTTCATTACCGCTATATAGATAAACCAGCCAGTTTATGCCAGAATTGTATTCGGCAGATTAACTCCAGCTCAAATACCATCATTAACTTTTCCCAACTTCTTTTACTCCGCACTGCCACTGTTTCTTAACATCTCCTTCTGTCTGCCAACCAAGGTGATTATGTTCTTTTATTAAGCGCTGTCTATTGCTCTTTTGCCAGTCGCCTGCAGCAAGGTATGCGTTGCTCGGCTGAAGCCGGATATGACGTATGACGTTCACAGACGCTGCTGTATTTTTCTTGTTCTTTCTGCCGTGAAAGATACACGTAAACTCATTATTCTCGTCTTCTTTATTATTGTTGTTGTGGATAATGATGGTGATGATGATGATGCTAGCAATAATTGGAAATGTATTAAAATATATTTCTTCTTAAAAATGGTGAGTCCTAAGGCTTTAAATATGCAATTAATAAATTGTATTTCATCTCTTAGTTTTAATTTTCTCGAAAAAAATAAAATTATTTTTTGTTTTCTAAGTCATTTTCATGAACTGGATATAAAATTAATCTCTGAGTTTATATCTATATGACACTTTTTACTGAAATAGACAATTCCCTTTCTTTTTTTTTAATAGATTATATCCCACTTATATATCTTTACTATTTAACTTATATTCTTTCAGATATTTTATTTGTAAAATTTTATATAGTCGCTCATTTTAAATAGCTGGATTAATTTTGAAACATTTTTATACCATCATAATCGTTTTCATTGTTTCATTCTTTGCATATTTTTTGTACAACCTTTTACGAATTTCTTCAAAAAAATTCCAATAATATGCTTATTTCTTATTACGACTTATTTGCAGCATATGGTAAGCGTCTTGATAGAGGACGGTAAGTGCGACACTGAGATCTGTAGACGTATTAGGATGGCCAAAGATATATTCCAAATGCTGGACTGAGTATTGCAAGACAAGAGGATTTCTTTGGTAACAAAAAATAAAGAATACTGAGCAGTTATGTGACATCTGTGTTTCTTTACGGCAGCGAATGTTGGACGATTTTCGCAAAGTTGAAGAAGAGACTCGAGGCGACGGAGATGTGGTTCTACAGAAGGATTCTGAGTATATCATGGACCGAGCGTGTGATCAAGGATGATATCTTAGAAAGGTTGCAAACAAGGAGCAGGCTTATACTTAACATCAGGAAGAGGTAGCTGAAGTTTCTAGGATACATAATGAGGATGGAGTGCGTGGAGAATCTGATACTCACGGGTCGAATAGAGGGAAAGAGAGACAAGGGAAATCAGCGAATGACATACCTGACGAGCTTGAGCGGGTGGATGATAGAACGTGGTCTGGAGGAGGAAGCAGATGGAAGGAACTTGCTGAGAGCTGCGAGAAATAGGAGGTTGTGGAGAGCCATGATCGCCTAGGTTCTGAAAGGGCACAAAAAAGAAAGAAATTAATTCATCATGTGTCTCTCACTCATTACTTTTTATTCACAATACATCGAATATATTTCTAGTATTCCAGCCTTATTCTACGTTATCGTCATTATTATTATTATTATTATTATTATTAGCAGCAGCAGCAGTAGTAGTAGTAGTAGTAGTAGTAGTAGTAGTAGCAGCAGTAGCAGTAGTAGTTTATAAAATCGACAGGTTCTCTAAAAAGCCAAATGAAAGCAAATCTATTCAGGGTTATGTCCTATTCCTTAATATTCTAGCTCTCTTCAGCTGAAGTATGTTTTGGTAAATATCTTTTCTTTTACAACGATGGCCACCTTTTACAAGGTCTGGGAGGCACTCAATTGTAGATTGATTTGTTCTTTATGGCTTATCAACCCTTTGCAGATTACTTAAAACCATAAAATATTGTAAGAATTATCTTTTTGAGATAATAATCAATTTGGTAATACAAGTTTTATTAATTAGTGAGAAGTTGCTCGAGTGGAAGTACACATCTCACCAACAGAATCGAAGTGAATGAAGGTGGTTCGTTACAATGCGTAGCATGGCGGGTCCTAGCCGTGGATGTTAGAACTGGTGGAACTAAGGAATGTAGTTCATCTGAAAACTTTACATGGAAATAACGACAGAGAGAGGCTTGCGATTTTTCGACTGTGAGAAAGGGGTTGTAGGGTGGAAAATAATTCACCACCCACAAATTTTCGAATCCTGGAATAATTTCGAATACCACATTGATTATAGATAAGTTTATATCCTGTATTTTCTGGGACTCTTCAGCGTGTTTCACCATATAATTTACATATAATATAATATAATTTACGTATAATATCATATAATTTACCATATAATTTATCATGAATTATTTACCATATAATTTATTATGAATTATCACTTGACATGTTTCTGTTTTTAGTCGAGGGTGAACTGTCTATTCTGTTACTAAATCCGTATACGTACTGGGATGGCCAAGGACATGTCACCATATAATTTACATATAATATAATTTACATATAATATCATATAATTTACCATATAATTTATTATGAATTCTGTATTATCACTTGACATGTTTCTGTTTTTAGTCTAGGGTGAACTGACTATTTTGTTACTAAATAACATAGGAATATGCGTAAACCTTTTTCTTTTTTTTTTTTTTTTTTTTAAGCGAATCACTTTTGTCACAATTCTTTCCTTCATAATAGAAATTTCCGTAACAAATATTATTCTCCGTTTATCTGAATTAAATTGTTTTGGAGGTTAAGTTTAGATAATCATTATTATTTTATTGATACATTTTAAACTTTATCTGTAATTCTTTTGAAAATGCTGATACATAGTTTTATTTTTCAATTGTGTTTAATCAAAGACGGAGTACTAATGTACGCAATCTTTGCTAAAACTTTTTATTCATTATTTTCGTGAAGAAAAATTGTTTCTTTTATAGTTTTGGCTTGTCTTATCAGTTAACAATTGCTTTCTATAGGTCTTTTGACAGATTAGTTTTCAGCATGAAGTGATTTCTTAAAGATATTGAGTATCTCTATTAGTCATAGTCAATAGAAAAATATTTACTAAATTAATTGTATTCTTCATTTACTTAATAAAACATTTAAGGCAAATAAAAACCCAAATAGGAATATTGACATAACAAATGAACTTGAAAATTTGAATAACAAATTTATTAATAAAATTAAAATTGGTAATCATTAAACTTTCATATTAATACGAACAAAGTCGAAGAAAAATTTTGTTTAATTAAATCATGATGGATTTGATAAATTTTTAAATCTAAACTGCCCAAATTGGAAATAAAACAGTTTTAATGTCCTGTCATTTATTTTTCTTTCTTTCTTTGTCTTTATTTTTTACATTCAAAGGTAAGCATGCAAAAGGTATTTTATTCATGAATATCTTATTTTAGTAATTATGTTAATAAACCGGAAACGAGTGAAAAAGAATGACAAAATGATAAGTAATTTTGTGTCTGTCTATATTTCTGAGATGAGGTATTATCTACACTGTATACATTATTCGGACTATTGTCCTCATCTTTGTCGTCATATTTATTACAACGTTTCGGCCTTTCAGTATCTGTCTATATTTCTGAGATGAGGTATTATCTACACTATTTACATTATTCGGACTATTGTCCTCATCTTTGTCACCATATTTATTACAACGTTTCGGCCCTTCAGTATCTGTCTATATTTCTGAGATGAGGTATTATCTACACTATTTACATTATTCGGACTATTGTCCTCATCTTTGTTGCCATATTTATTACAACGTTTCGGCCCTTCAGTATCTGTCTATATTTCTGAGATGAGGTATTATCTACACTATTTACATTATTCGGACTATTGTCCTCATCTTTGTTGCCATATTTATTACAACGTTTCGGCCCTTCAGTATCTGTCTATATTTCTGAGATGAGGTATTATGTACACTATTTACATTATTCGGACTATTGTCCTCACGTTTGTTGCCATATTTTATACAACGTTTCAGCCTTTCAGTATCTGTCTATATTTCTGAGATGAGGTATTATCTACACTATTTACATTATTCGGACTATTGTCCTCATCTTTGTTGCCATATTTATTACAACGTTTCGGCCCTTCAGTATCTGTCTATATTTATGAGATGAGGTATTATCTACACTATTTACATTATTCGGACTATTGTCCTCATCTTTGTTGCCATATTTATTACAACGTTTCGGCCCTTCAGTATCTGTCTATATTTCTGAGATGAGGTATTATGTACACTATTTACATTATTCGGACTATTGTCCTCACGTTTGTTGCCATATTTTATACAATGTTTCAGCCTTTCAGTATCTGTCTATATTTCTGAGATGAGGTATTATCTACACTATTTACATTATTCGAACTATTGTCCTCATCTTTGTCGCCATATTTATTACAACGTTTCGGCCTTTCAGTATCTGTCTATATTTATGAGATGAAGTATTATCTACACTATTTACATTATTCGGACTATTGTCCACATCTTTGTCGCCATATTTATTACAACGTTTCGGCCTTTCAGTATCTGTCTATATTACTGAGATGAGGTATTATGTACACTATTTACATTATTCGCACTTTCGTCCTCATTTGTCGCCATATTTATTACAACGTGCCGGCCTTTCAGTATCTGTCTGCATTTCTGAGATGAGGTATTATCTACACTGTATACATTATTCGGACAATTGTCCTCATTTTTGTTGCCATATTTTATACAACGTTTCAGCCTTTCAGTATCTATTTATATTTCTGAGATGAGGTATTATGTACACTATTTACATTATTCGGACTATTGTGCTCATCTTTGTTGCCATATTTATCACAACGTTTCGGCCTTTCAGTATCTGTCTATATTTCTGAGATGAGGTATTATGTACACTATTTATATTATTCGGA